AAATCTAGTCTGAGCTGAGAGTGACCTCAAGGTAAAAGCACTGGGAGGCTGCGGTCACCTGAGCAGGGTCATCACGTGTGCACTCTGCAATTGGCACTCGTTGATCAAATAAAAGCAAGTTCAGGAATTAAAAGCAGCTATGCAACAGAGAACAGCCACAGCTCAAACCAGCATTCCAGCTCCCGCTTTCATTCCAGGGACAGCAGTAGGTTGTTAAATCCAGGTCTAGTCACTGTTAGCTAGAAACAAAAACAGATATTACAGCTTCAGGGATAAAAGCAAACTGAGCTGGGTAAAGGAAACAAATGAAGAGAGGTTGAAGTTAACGTAACTATTGACTTTCTACTAATTCTAGACCATCAGGTAGCACAGATGAAGACCCAGGGCTCTAGCTGAACAAGAGTAGCATGTGTACCAAGAGACTGCATCCACCTCACTTCTGCAGACCCTGACGCAGGAAGCATAACAGCTCTTTACAAGTCCTTCACAGTTGTTTTCCAATCAAGGAGAAACATAAACAGATAACTGAAGAGGAGGGGGGGTAATTTATTTCTTGAAATTCCCCAGTGTGCTGGTTTTGGCTGGGATAGAGTTAATTTTCTTCATAATAGCTTGTATGGTGCTATGTTTTGGATTTGTGATGAAAACAGTTTTGATAACACAGGTCTGTTTTAGTTATTGCTGACCAGTATTTACACAGTGTCAAGGCATTTTCTCTTTCTCACACTGCCCCACCAGCAAACAGATTGGGGGTACACAAGAATTTGAAAGGGGACACAGCAGGGACAGCTGACCCCAACTGGCCAAAGCGATATTCCATAGCATATGACACCATGCTTGGCAATAAAAGCTGGCGGAAGAAGAAGGAAGGGGGGGGACATTTGCAGTTATGGCATTTGTTTTCTTAAGTCATCATTATGTGTGATAGAGCCCTGCTTTCCTGACAATGGCTGAACCCCTGCCTGCTGACGAGAATGAGTGAATTAATAACTTATTTTGCTTTGCTTGCATGTGCAGATTTTGCTTTAACTCTTACACTGTCTTTATCTCAATCCACAAGTGATTGCACTTTTATCCTTCTGATTCTCTTCCCCAGCCCACTGTGGGGAAGTCATCAAGAAGCTGGTGGTGCTGAGCAGCCTACCAAAGAGAAACCACAACACCCAGTTTCCTGGTTTACCTGTCTCTCCCATTGCAAGCAAATAACCTGCCGAGGTACCAAACTCCCCTGGCCCAGGAACTCAGCCACGTGTGGAGAAGCAAAGCCTGGCAGGCCCTTCCAGGGCTGGCTAGTGCATGTGTATGTACCTAACTGCCTGCACATCTCGCCAGTCCCTTTCCCCACCTCTAGGTCATGTCCTTGCAAACAGGGACCTGAAGCAGGTGTCTAACTTTCTCCTGCGTGGGAAACGGTAACACACTTGCCCTCTGTTCCCACTCACACCAGAGCCCAGGCCAGCGCTGACTTACAGAGGAGAAGACGCAGGCACTGGGGTGACAGTCATGCAGCGACTCACTGGCAAGGAGCAATGCAGGCAGGGTGCCAGCATTCCCTAGCCCGTGATCAGCTTCATGCAAGGGCATAACCCTGGACCAGTCCCTGCACATGCCTGTATGGCATAGACGCATGCTTGGACTCTATCAGAGAGGCCTGACGTGACCCCTGGGAGAGGGCACTGTCCCCTCTGTCCCATCAGCCCCATAACACAGCTGCACTCAACTTCAGTCAAACGACAAGCAGGATAAAAATGAGACTTTTCTCTTTCTTTTTTTTTTTTCCTCTCCTTCCAGTTCCAGAAAGTCTAGGAATGGCCCCAAAGCACTGACACCTTTCTGCGTTTGCAGGGAGCCTGAGAAAGCTGCTCTGAATGGGGAGAGCCACAGTAACAGGCCTTGAGCCCCTGTGTTACCCTTACCATGGCTGGTCAGGGCAAGGGAGAAGGAGGGAAGCATCACATAACTGCTGCCAGCTCTCACCCACTCAGCAGTGCTGCCTGCTTCAGGTTCATGTTATATGCCTTATACCAAAGAATCCCAGACCTACAGAATGGTTGAACTCTCCCTCAGTCCCCATGGCATTGTCCTTCCCTCAAGCATCTCTCTCTGCTATGCCACCCACATGAAGGCTGCCTTATTCCCACATCCCCCAGAAAAAAGCCACCAGCCACAGTGCTGGCGGAAAGGCAGGATAATCAGAAAGGCACCAAGAGTAGCAGAAGCCTGGGCACAGAGAAGGAAAGATTTGGAGGTTTGAAGTGAGCAGGTGTGGGGGTGTGGAGGTTCCCTGAGGGACAGAGGCCACAGCAATGGGGAGCTGGCAACGGGAATCAGTGGGAAGATGCCCACAGCCCTGAGGGAAGCTATGAGGCCCGAGGGAAGGGCACTGGGACCAAAGGAAGGACATGGAGCCTGAGGGAAGCCATGGGGCCTGCGGGAAGGCAATGGAGCTTGCAGGAGGCACATGGAACCTGAGGGAAGGGCACGGAGCCCAAGGGAAGGGCATGGAGCCCGAGGGAAGGGCATGGAACCCAAGGGAAGGGCATGGAGTCTGGGGAGCCATAAGAGAAGGACAGGATGTCTGCATGCCTTGTGTTGGAATGGCGCACACACAGGGACGTAACAGCCACCACAGAACCCCACCTGGTGCCGTGGGTGACCCTGTGTGGAGAGGGTCTGTCCCGCTGAGGCCATCCCTCCTTACCGCATGGCTGGGACCCAGATATGCTGTGCACGCCCCCTCTGCAATGGCAAGGCAGGGGCTGGCAGCTCTGAGCCCAGCTCTGCTGCTGACAGGCATTCCCCTGCCTGCCACCACGGCTTCCACCGCGCAGCGGGCTGGGCCCAGTGGGGACAGAGAGCATCCACGAAGAGAGGGGAAGCTCCAGCCACTGTGGGATGTGGCTGGTGGCACTGAGACAGCAAGGCTGCCAGGGCAGGTCCCAGGGGACAGGGCATGGGGTGTGGGAGAGAGACAGGCAGAGAGCAACACCGGCACCTGAGACAGGCGTGGAGAGACATCTGTCACCTGCTGCTGCTCCTAGGAATAGCAGCAGAGGATGACGGGGATGCGGAGTGTGCTTATTTAATGCCATTTAATTCTCAGTGCTACAGATATTTAAAATAATCACAGTGCCATGGCATCCCTGCGTCCACTCCAGACAGGAAATCTTCAGCAGAGCAAGCTGTGGCCAGGTGTCCTTGATTCTCATCATGGGAGCCGGAGATCAGGTCTGCTGGACTGGGTGAGAGGAGACCAAACACGGGGAATGGGCTTCTGTGCAAGACTGGCACAGAGAGAAGGGGACATGGCATGCAGTGTGCTAGCTGCTATAGTGAAAGGGCCAACGTGTGACGTGCTGAGTCCGTGCAAGGCAGAGTAGGGGAACAAGAAACAGAGTCCTAGCATACCCATGGTGCACCAGCTCCCAGCAGGACATGTGAGACTCACTGACTTCTCATGAGGAACAGTCAGCAGACACTGCACTGACTCCTAGCAGGGCAGGGCTGGAGGGCAATGCACACACTTCCAGAGAGATGCATGGGACCCATCAGCTCCCAGCAGGACATACGTGACATACTGATTCCCAGACAGACAGGGCTAACGTGTGATGCACCAGCTCCCAGCTGATGCCCTGACTGCACCAGGTGTGATGAACTGGCCCCCCCAGCAGGACACTCGTGCTGTACTGGGCGCCAGTGGGGCTGAGCCACAAAATATGCATCAGCTCCCAGTAGGACACAAGGGACAGATTCCCAGCAGGATACACGCAGTGCCAAGACTCTCAGTGGGACACACCTGACACCCTAACTCCCATCAGGACACAGTCAACACAACAACTCCTAGTAGCACAGAGACAGTGTGCAAGGTAGCAGCTACCAGCAGAACACATGCAAAACACACTGAATCCCAGCAAGGCAGAGCCGATGTGTGACACACGGACTCTCACCAGAGTGTGCGTGATGTGCTGGCTCCCATCAGGACACCTGTAATGCACCAACTCCCAGCAGGGCAAGGCCGGCCGGTGATGCACCAGCCTCCAGCAGGACAGCTGTGATGCAGTGGACTCCCAGCAGGACTCTCACAGTGCACCAACTCCCAGTGAGACACACAATGCAATGACTCCTACTGTGGCTGGGTCAGTGTATGAGGCACAGGCTTCTGGCATGATACTGTGTGAGGCATTAGTTCCTAGGATGTGTGTGAGACAGCAGCTCCCAAGTGACACACCAGATCCCAGACAAAAAGGGCCGGTGTGCAACACACAGGCCCCTCCGTGCCCTGCTCCCTGTCCAGAAGAGCGGTGGGTACTGTCCTGGAAGGGGAGGGGTGCAGGGGCAGGCCAGGCTGTGTGGCTGGGGGGACAGGGACACCATAGCAGGGCTCCCAGTGCCACCTAGTGGGGGACAAGGAAGGCTCAGGGGCCACCCATCCCCGAGACCTGGGTGCTGCTGAGCGCAGCAGGCCTTCCCCAGCCACACCAGCCTCTCCCACCACCCTCCCAGACCTGCCTGGCTCCAGCAGCCACCCCAATCCCACATGCTGCCCTGCAGCAGGCCAGCATGTCCTGTCAGTTCTTCTCCCACGCTTGCTCATCCTGGGCCCTGGAGATTGTATAAAGCATCGCCATGGGAGGGACAGAGGAATTTACTCCAGGTGCTGTTTGTTAATCACATCAAGTACAGTCCTGCCGAGTCATTGGGTTTCCATCCTGCATGGGGTGAGCACAGAGAGACTTGGTCATAGATCCATAGCTTCTGCCCATGAGCTGCAGTGTCCAGAAAGCATCAGAGCCACTCTCATAAGAGGATGTTTCATGAAAGCCCCCCAAAAGTATTACATCTTCTGAAGCAAACACTGACGCTCGATGCATTTTTTATCTGCACAGCTACCTGCAAATTATCCTTCATCTGCGCACATTAACTCTGACACACACAGTCATGCATATACAGGAACACATCGCAGACACATCACCCAAAGAAAACACTGGCACAGCAAACAGTTTGTATGATTGCACAAGTTTTATTTTATAGGCTTTCTCCCCCAAAACCAGACCAGAGGTTCTGGGAGATGGAAACAGTGGATGAGGCCATAAAGGTATAGTACAGAGCTGTGTGAAAGTTTACACATGGAGAGGCTAAAAATGTGTATTAAATGCAAATTTAACATGGGGCAAGGGAGGAGGAGTGTATGGTTGGATTTGTAATCCTGGCGTATGTGAATGTGGTGTTTCCTTCCATCACTCCACCCAGCAGGCGACCTTCAATCTCTAAAGCTGTATCCACTCATCTACAGACGTTTAATTGCCTGTCATTTTCTTCCATTCTATCTGCATCCTCAGTCTCTTCTTCCTTCCTCACACGTCCTCATCCTGAAAACAATCCCTAGGATGTTAAAGAGAAAACCATGACACCTTGTGGAACAGATGGAGCATCCTCCAGATAAAGGCACCCTCATGAATACTGGTGTGTCATCCAGCAGGTCTTCCCAGTGTAGTACAGCCCAGACAGTGAAAACAGACCAAGTAAGGCCCTGAAAACTATCAGTTTCCAGTAGAAGACCCAGGATTCACCTACTTGATCAAACACAGCCCCTCTTTGCTCAGAGGATGAGCTACCAGATTTTTGTTGGCCTTAATCATGATTAAGCTGAGTGTCTATCCAGGGAGTTTTTTCAGGGAACTCAAATCCCTGCAAAAATTAAATCAGCTGCAAAGTGCTCTATTATCCTCATCATTCACCCCAAAATCAAGGTAAAGGGTGAGGCTAGAAAATCAGGCCCATCATGCTGATGATCTGAGCTAGGCTGGATCCCAAACACTTCTGCAGTAATACAGGAGATAAGTCTAGAAATGGGGAGAAAGGAAATACATTCAAAAATAGATGGCCACAGAGTTCAAGGCAACAACTGGGAAGGAGCTAACAAAAAGTCCTGTCATTAAGAAGGCTATCAGTACAATCCGAGGGCTGAGGCAAGATAACAGGTTGGGCACATTTCTCCAAACACGAACCCAGTACAAGGCCAAGACACCAGATGAGCAGCTCAGGTGTGTCCAGAAAGGCAAATGAAATCCCCACGGGGTCACACTCTCCCGAGCCCCTGCTCCCTAGGACAGCCCCTTCTCACCTACAGCAAAAACCCTGCAGGATCCCAGTGAAACACCAGCTGGTCTCCAAGCGCTTAAACTGAAGGCTCTCCTCTTCCCATGAACTCACCTCCTCTGCTCTCACACGTCCCAGCTGCCAGTCTACTGCCTATTTTAAAAACAGCAGAATTTGGGATCGGAGTAGTCAAGTGAGTTGTGGTTGTGCAAGAGGCTTCCTCACGACTAGCGTCCTCCAAGAGCTGCCCTCTCCTCCCAGAGCACCATGGTCTGAAAGAAAGGAAAGAGATGGGGGAAAACATCAGTCTCAAAGCTGAACTCTTCCAGCTGCTTAGGACCAGATCATTATTTTAAGAGCACTTACATGAGAGACAGAATAGCTTGGTAACTGCTAAGGAGAGACTTGGCTAGGTCCCCTCCAGGTCACCGAGAACACACAGGGTAGGCAGAAGCAGCTCCAGGCTCTTGGCTCTGTCAAAATTTGGTGGCAAAACTGAAAAATGTGGTAGAAGACATTTTCATTTTGCAAATTTTGCCAACCTGTCAGGACACGCTGGTGGTGATGAGCTGCAGAGAGATTTGGGCAGGCAGTGGGGGGAGTTAGGCTTGGTGCAGGTGGGGATGATCAGTACGTTGTGGGACAGGAAGGAGGAGACTGGGAAAGACATGAACATAGCAGGGCTGTTACTAGGAGAGGGAACAAGACCATAGAAATGTGTGTTTGGGGGTGGGATAGTCAGACCCATCAGATTCTGAACAGCCCAAATGATCACAGCAATCAAGGCCCTGCTGGTACATGGCCTGTCCCCAAGGCAGAGAGAACGATGAGAAATACAACATGAAGCCAGAGTGGCTTTACACTACCTCCAGGCCAGGTAGACCAACTGGCCTTCAGTGCTGCACACTCAGGCAAGCCCTGCTTCCCTCAGCAAAAAGCCCAGAGGGCTGGTTCCACCATGCTTGAATGTGACAGCTGGCATCTGCATAGGAAAGCATCCCTCAGTATGACATGTCATCACCTAAATCCAAAGAAAGGTATTAACATCTGCCATCTGGCTCTAGAGGCTTTAAGCGTCTTGGGGAATAAAACAGGTAGCCCTAACATGATTCGATAAGAGAAGGAGCTTCCCCTCTGCCAGACAGTGGCTGTAGATCCTAGGACTTACATCAAAATAAGTTTTGGGTCTCAAACTAGACCCCTCCATGAAAACCGAGGCCTCCTGTACTTGTCCAAGCAGTCCAGGGCAACGTTCATCAGGGAGGCAAGAGGAATAGCTGGGATGGACAGGAAGGAGGGCTCAAACAAACATCTTGGGAGGGTACCAAGGCATTGCTAAGCTCCCTCTGGGTATGCCTGCAGTGCCCAACATCTTTGCTCCTTGTCTTGCTCCCAGGTCCCAGTCTCTGACTGTCCATCCTCACTGCAGGTACAGTTTTTTTGCACAGGGGCTGTAGTTTGGAGGAGATTAATTCAGCCTCTCCAAGATGACAGATGCTTGGGCTGTCATACCTCTTTGAAATCACAGGTATCTGGGACTGCTGAAACCACAGAAATTACTGCTCGTGTCTCAGAGTCAGTGAGCACTACGAGGGACCCAGAAGAGACCTGGGGCAAAGATTACACAGTGTGGAAGTGGTCATCCCCAAGCACTGTGGACTTAAGCCACTCTTCATCATGTGGCGTGGGAGTCAGGGACTGCTCACAGAACAGACTCCCTTGGTAGTAGATGCTGAATCTCTGTTTCCACCACTGGAGGAATCTCAGGCATCTGTACCTGGTCCACAGGACGAGTTGTATTGGGTCAGAGCAACAGTCTGCCAAAACTAGTGCTCTTTCCTGGCAGTGGCAGGCAACTCGGTAAAGGCTACAAGAAGTGAGGTGAGTATAGAGTGATCCCACCCCTGACAGTGCCTTCCCTGCTGCCTATAAACTGCTCCTTAGCCCACCTAAGCTAGAGAATGCAGTTGCCCTGCAATTATCTAACAGCGCTGCTCAAGAGGTTACAACACATTCTGACTCCTGCCTTTCAACAGGGAGCGAGCAAACCTACATATCTCATCTGTAAAGGCCTCCTTGAAAGCTTTTCAAAGACAAGTTGCATATAAATATCTCCAAGTTTGATGTTACTTTTAACCAGCATGCTGAAACAAGCAGTGCGCCAGGCTGTCCCACCGTTCTCTGTGCGGTACAGGGAACCTGCAGACAAAGAGTAACCACCTCCAGATGGGCAGCAGAGTAGCAAAACCTGAGGCTGATGTCCTCCAAACCAACATGTCGCAAACTCATCACATCTCCAGGGGATCCCAGCAGACAACCCTTAATTTATGTCTTCTACATAGTGACCACCAGCCAAAAAGGAGAAATGCTGGACTTTGCTTCAATACCTCTCTGCTCCACAAATCACCTATGTTGGTCTGTATATCAGCACAAACACACTACCTTAGACAACTTGCAGTTGACAATATTTTACTCTTGCCTGTTGAATACTGAGTACCTGCTACCAAGGTAGGCCCTGGCTCACTACTTTGTATGAAAGCAAAGAAACATGAAGAAAACACCAGCTCAGCTTGAACTGTATTTTTTTCTGAGCATCAGTCACTCCCTATAATTAATTAGATCCCTAAAGTACACAAGAAACTAAGAAAAACAACAGCCATAAGCTAAGATGACTGCGCTCTAGCAAAAAAGCTTTTATCTCTATGCAATGAATAAATAACTCTGACGTAACTACACACAGCAATTTTTCATCAGATGTCTGAGTATCAAAATCCCTTTTCAGACCTACTCTGAAACAGCTTTCAGCAAATGTGCTGATGGAAAACCACTAGCCAGGTTCACAAATGTGTCTAAAATCTAGCACATAAATCCAGGAGCAACTGTTCCAAGGACCTACCACACCACCTCCTCTTTCTATACAAAAGCCACCTTGCAAGACTCAGCATCTCTCTGTGCACTCCATGGATGTTTTAGCCCACAGCCCCACCATGGAAAGCACAAATAGTGCTTTTTCAAGGACAGACAAGAGGTCAGAAGCTGAGTGGTTATTCCCAAAATCCCTCAGACATCTTGAGATTGAAAAAAAAAAAACCCAAAGCCCTCAAATGCAGCTTTTCCAGGTGCATGGCCAACAGACTCAGTCTGTACCCAAACCAGCACCAGCAGCTGATGAATGCTATTCATCTCCAGATTCCTACTCAACTGGAGGCAGAACCCAGTGATTTCGTGTGCTACCAGCCAGCCTCTGACTGCAGGGCAATGCAAACAATTAAACAGGCTATTTCTGCACTAACAATCGGCCCTTTTCGGGAAAGGCTCTTTCATATCGGGCAGCCCATATTGCCACCGCTTAATCAGGCTGAGATTTAAAGAAGCCTGCTGTGAGATGACACAGATTGCTTCCTCCCTCGGGAGCTGGCGAACACCATGGTCAGTGTGTAACTGGCAACCCCTGCAAAAAGAGTCCCCGTTATGCACAACAGCTGAGCCCTCTTCTTTCTCTGATGGCGCTTGGCCTCCGCAGACCTGGACTAGGACCAAGGGGCTCCATGTGCTCAGTCATTCCACATGTTGACCCCTCTCTTTATTCCTCAAAATTCTTCACTGGCCACAGCACAGTGGTGGGAAAGCAGGCAATGACAGAGGGAAGGTGTAGCTGTTCACACGTCTCTTCTGCCTCCTATGTCAACCCTGTAGACACAGCCTTGTCTGGGTGTAGATGAAACCATCTGCTTGGTGTCTGGCAACTCCAGACAGGCAAAGGGCAGGGAAGGCTGTCTCGTCCAGTCACCTGTCACCCCGGCAATTCCTGACTGTGCTGAGCAGCCAGAGCAGGGGAACGATGGCCAAGAGGCACTGACAGCAAGGAGGGGAAAGGAGGATGGAGCCCATTCCCTGGGACAGGTCTGGAACAGGGCACAAGGATCAGACCAAACAGCTGAGACCTTTTGATCCCCCTCCTCCAAGGCCTCTGTGAAAGACTCAGCAGATGCCCTACAAGAGGCAGTGGTGAGGGATTGTGCCTCCGAAGTGTCCAAGTCTGATAGGGCCCTAGATTTACCTCCTTGTCAGGGTGCTGGAGCTAAGCAGTCTGCCTTTTCACATGGACTTCACAGAAGTTCAGCAACCTTATTCCAGCTTGGATGTTAAAGTTGCTGTTGAGATGGAGAAATTAGGCATGCAGGACACTCAGCCACACATATCTCCAAACCCATTTCCATTCTAGCAGATGAGATAGGGTGTCCCGGGCAACAGCCTCATCAGTACCATCACCACCCCACACCTCAAGACTCTTCCAGCCTGCCTGGCAGCTTCTACCTTTGGGTCCCTATACCAAAGCTCAGCTTGTGTCTGGAAGATGCTTCACCTAGATCAGAACCTGATATTACTCCATAACCAAAGTCTCCCCTGATTTAACAGACCAAACCCTCAGGCTGTACAAATGACTTTGCACAAACACTACAACTATGGCTACCAGTGTGAACGTCTTCATCAACCCCTGCCCCAGTCCAGGACCTGCTCCAGATTCTCCTCAGTTACATTTGATGCTGCACCTTGCATCAGGCAACTACGAGTGGGAGGTTGGGCTGGAGCTCTCCAGATCCCCTTCCACACCTATTTTTCAGATTATTTACCCCCCTTAAAATGAGTTTAGGGAGCAGTCTCTCACCTGCTGGGAGATTTTGAATGCCATTGAAAATCTCTCAGCATCTCTCACAGCACTGCTTCCAAGTAGGTATGAAGCAGTCCCTTGTAAGAGGTGCTGTCTTTTCAGGTCCCTCCAGCCCTGCATGTCCCCGTGCCAGGGCACAGCTCATCACTTCTCTCGGTTAGTCATTCTGAATCCTCCATGATCTCTTGTGATTCCCAGCACTGGTGCTCATGTAAGAGGATACAGCTAGCTTTTAGTAGGGTTCCTCATCTTGTATCAGCTTAAAGCATAAGGGGTCTCCATGCACCTGGGTGAATGTGGGGATCAAGAGGGCTACAGAACTGGTCTGCTGTGGCAGAGTCTTTGCAAACCACCAGGCCTGTGTCCAGACCCACTGCTGTTACAATTTATGTGAGCACTGTCTTTTATCGAGCCACTCCTTAGCATCCCTGCATAGGATATCTCTGCAGCCTGGAGATCAAGACAAGCAAAGACCGCTTTGTATTGCAGGTGTGCAAGAAGTCAACTGGAAGTTGCATCAAGCTCTTGACAATGCTGCACAGTGATAGCTGCCTGTCACTGGCTTCCCCACCCCTGGAAAACAATCCCACGGGAAATTCTTTGAAATCACACAAGGAGCAGAAAAGCGTAGTTTTAGAAGGGAAAGTGTCAGCAGTTTTCCCTGGACACATTGCTTATGATTATTAAGATATATATATTTACGGAATCTGCACATGGGTGTCTACACAGGCATAAGCACAAAGAAGACAGCTGTGTGTTTGTCATTTTCTG